GATGTTACCCAAGATGAGAGGGGGCTTCGAGAACTTATACAGGTGCAGTTACTCTAGTTGTCATTTTCAGAAAACAAGAGTGTACAATAGTAAACAAATTTAAACAATAACCACAAAACCTGTAAAATGACACATACTTGTGGCATACTACTAAATATGTTATGTTTATAAAGAATTATTTCATTGTTTTCGGAATTACCAGAAGAGGCATTTAAACCAGAGAGCTGGTTAAGGAAGTCTATTATACATGAAAAATGCCTAATACATACTATCAACTTCCACTGAAAGCTGAACTGTATATTAGCAACTATAAAGTAAACTCGTAGAAAGCTGCACTTGGAAATAATTTTGTGAATAACAATTTATTTTATTCACAAAATTATTAGCAGTCTAGAAAATGGTTCTAGAATTTATTCTGCATTTCAGGCTGGTTGTTTCCGGGCTGCAATCAATTTGACTGGTCGACTTCTTACTATATATGGTCAGGGTGCAGGAAGAGCTGGTCACCCAAGCAAACACACTGTACATTCCATTCAGGTTTGTGGTCACAGTAATTACCTTTCACACTAGAATGCTGGGGTTCTGCTGAATTTGCATCACACACACAAGAAAATGTTTGTAGCCACATCCATAACATATTTTTATTCATATATAAGTGAGAAAGGCCCACTAAAATCCAAAGGGGGAATGATTTATTATTTTTATTTTTGTCCCTCACCACTTTTCTTCTTTCCTTTGTCTCTTTCATAAATGTATCTTCTTCCCACAATTTTTCTCATATTACTTTCTTATCCCTTTCATTTGTTCATGCTGCATACTACATTCTTTCGTAAATGCAGTTAACTGAATTTCTGGGTGAGTTATAGTTTCCTGTGTATCTGCAAGATATCAGGATACTTCATATGGATGCTGTCATCTCCTGAAAGATTTTGAAATTACATAGTGTCCATTAGGAGTGCAAGAAGACTGACATGCAAACATCACACTGATACATAAGGGTGCAGGTGATATTGTTAGTCCAGATTAATTGGTATCTGACATTTTGTCCTCAGCTTTGGTTCACACGATTGGCTCTCCACATGAAACTGCGCTCATTCTCATTAGCTGAAGTGGAAGCAGAGCCGTTTGGAGACTTGGACCGTCCAGATTTGTACTTTCAGTTTTATCCAGAACTGTATGGAGGTCGTATGGGTTCAATGGTACCCTTTGCTTTCCGTCTGCTGTTAGCTGAAATACCACAGTATTTTACAAAACATCAAGAGGCACTG